AAGCAGGGGAGGGGCAGAGGGAGAAAGAGAGAGAGAGAGAGAGCAAGCACAAATGGGGAAGTGGCAGAGAGAGGGAGACACAGAATCCAAAGCAGGCTCCAGGCTCTGAGCACAGAGCCTGACATGGGGCTTGAACCCACGAACTGTGAGATCATGACCTAAGCAGAAGCTGGACGCTTAATCAACTGAGCCACCCAGGCACCCTGTACCTAGTCATTCTATTGCTTCCTTAAAGTGCCCAGTTTCTCACTGGAATGAAGAGTTAGGTACATGGGGTCAGATTTCAGCAAGCAAAAAGAGAGCCAACTGCTTATTTTTGGTAAATTAACCTTTTTAGCCTTTAAGACACAACTAACATCCTCAAAAGGAGTTATTTGCTAAAACTAATCACAGAAACTTCCATTCACTCAACTGACTCGTGTTGGGTACCGAGGACATGATCAGAGATGGAAAGGACAGAGTCTCTGCCTTCAGTCTCCTGACTGTCACTTGGACACAATTCAGTCAAAAGGGACAGAGGTTCGCAAGATGACTGTGGGGGAAAATACTCACTGTCTGCCTGTCAGTAGCATCTGACCCACAGGGCTTTATTCAAACATCCACCTCTGGGTCCTTGCATCCCTCCGACCCTATCAGGTAGACCAGGGGCAAGGAGTCAAGACAGAAAGAATATTGGGCACACCTGTCCCCACTCCATCAAGAGCAGACCCACTTCTATCATAAGGGCTCTTGTATAACAAAGGGTTGTGTGGCAAATAAGAACTTTGACAACCTCTGGTCTAAGATACAATCATGCCGCTTTCCAATCTAAATCAAACTGCCACACACTTTTCAGGAGAATCTAATCATTGCCCCTTATTGCCAGGGAAACCAAGGCACAGAGAGACCAAACACAGGGCTACTTCTGCAGTCACTTCTGTCAGCCTAAGGTGGCAGTGACCCACAGGGAATGTCAGCCACTATGTGCATGGAGTGAAGGAGGGGACAGAGTGTGAGGGAGTAGGGAAATAAAGTGTACTCTGGGGGAGCAAACAACTAAGCAATCCATGAGTGACTGATTCCCAAGATAAGGGAGCGTAAGTTCGCCTGTACGTGCCTAAAGCTGCCAT